TAATATTTGGGGTGATCAGTTAAGGTTTCCCAAGAAGATAGATTCTTTCAGGTCTCATACATTGTAAATATTTTGGCTGGATGCTGGGGGGGGGGGGGGAGGGGAGCAGTGGTAACGTGGGGGGAAGGAGAAGCAAGAATAAGATTGGGGTGGGTGAGTATATCTGAGAAGCAGCAGAAGGCAGCCAGCCAGCACCCAGGCTGTTCCCAGATGGGAAACTACGAGAGAGCTGAAGTCAGATGCCTTTGGAAGCTAAATCTGTCTCAGCTTTTCGAGGAGTAGGAGAGATTCTCATTGTGATGCTTTTGCCTTTTTTGTGTAATTAGTGGAGAGGATGGATAGTCGTCACATAACTCACAAGTTATCCTGGGCTTTAACTAGTGAACAGAGGGCTTGCCGAGCAAACAGAACCAAAGCTGGCGAGTCTAGACTGGGAAGTGTCTCTTTCCTCTACCTCTCTTGGTTATGCTTCCAGTTTCCTCATGTTAAATTTTTATACATTCATCCCCAGTGTAAATCCTATGGCCTTTGATTTTGAGTGGAATCGCGGGTCTGAATGAAGCTGGGGGATCATCCAGATCCGCTGCCTGAGTTTAAACTACATTTGGATAAGAAACCGTGTTCTTTCAGAAGACTGTACTGGACTATGGCAGAGTAGCGTTATTGGAGTAACCCTTTTGCCAAAAAAGAAAAAGAGGTATGAAAGCTTATTAAAATAGATACAACAATATAGGGGCATTGAAGAGCAACTAACGCAGTCAGTACTGGAGGGACTCGGATCCCTGAAAGGAAGCACGCTGAGGTGAGCAGCAAAGGCACTCTAGTTTTTCCCTGAAGGCGCATGCGGATTCCTAACACAGGGGTATAGAGTCATGGCAGAAAGCGGTAGTCACAAAGGGCTGAGAGGCTAGAGTTGGGGCTTATAAAAATAGCTGAGATTTGGAGGACAGAATCCCAGGGAAAGGGGAACCCCAGGGAAGTAAGCAAGAAAATGGGCATTCAGTCTTTTGCCAACTTCCAAGGTGCACATGATCAGAGCAAGACTTTAAGAATCTGCAGAAAGAAGCAGCTGGGAGCCTAACAAGCTGTGTAAACATTCCAGCAACCATATATATATATATATAGTGTTGACAAGATAAAGGCTGTGTTCAGGCCTGCCAAGATGGAGGGGTCGTGGTAGTTAACCCCGGCTTTGACTGAAAGCTCCAAAGGGCCATACCTTAATGGTAAGGAAAAGCTGAAAAAAGTTGTCCCTAACAACTCTTAAAACCATCCACTAATAGGATTAAAGGGGCCTGACTGTTAGTCCTACCTGAGAGAATATATTACACCCTTAGGAGGACGATGATCTAGATCCTCCAGAACCTCCACAATTATGAAGACAGAATGTCTGGCAAATGACAAATTCAGAGGGCTGCTAGAATTTGAAACCAAAGGAACAAAATAAATAGAAAAAACAGAAAATAGAAAAAACCTACAAGAGATTTCGGGTATCTGTCAGAAAGTGTGTTCAATAAAATAGAAGAAAAGAAGGAGGATTTCAATAGAATATGAAATCTACTTTTAAAATGCCAAGGGAAATGCTGGCACTGAAAATTTAAGAACTGAAATTAAGACTTCAATACCTGTGTTTAATAGCAGTTTAGACGTGCACAAAGAGAAGAGAGGAAAAATGGACATGAGAAAATATCCAGACTGAAGCACAGAGAGAAAAAATACAGAAAAGAGAATGAGAGACATATGGGACACAGTGAAAACATTTCATATATATGTATTTGGAGCCCTAGAAGAAGAAATACCGGCTGAGAGTTTTCTGAAAATGGTGAAAGACATCAAACCACAGACTGCAGAAGCTCTGCACTCCTTCGTGGGACAAATGCAAAGAGCCATACCTAGGCTCATCGTGTTGAAATGCTGTAAGCTAAAGGCAGAGAAAGTGTACATGCAGTCAGAATTAAAAGGCATGTCATTTTCAAAGGAGGACCAGTTAAGTCCGACAGCTTTGATTTATTAGCAAAATTTGGATGAAGCCAGAAGACAACGAAACTGTACTTAGAATGTGCTGGGGGAAAAAAAGATTGCCAGCTTAAAATTCTGTATCCAGCAAATATATCTGTCCATAACGACTGTGGGGGAAAAAAGAAACTTTCAAACAAATAAAAACAGAGAATTGGTTGTCAGCTGATAAAAACAACAGCAAGTTCTTCAAGCAGCAGGAAGATCATCTGAGATGGAAGCTCAGATGTGCTTGAAATAAAGAATACCAGAAAGGGGAAATGTGTGGTAAATGTAAATGAAAATTTACTTTTAAAATCAATAATAATGGTATCCTGTGTGATTGAAAATAAATAGAAGGAAAATATAAGAAGAAGTGGCACTAATAGCACATCACATCATATGGGATAGGATAAGCTGCAGTTTTCTTACATTGTTTGGTAAGTTGTAAAATTACTAATTTGAAGTATCATATCATAAATCAATGATGCTTACTTTAATTGTTAGGATAGCTACTAAACAACAGAAGACTAAAAAGCCAGCAATCTAATGAAGAAGAAAAACATGGAATAATAATAAAATTTGTTTGATTAATTCTAAAGGCAAGAAGGGAGAAATAAAGGAACAAGAAGAGATGAAACAAATAGGGTGATCACACACTTAAGCTTAGCTGCATCAGCAATCACATCAAGTGTTAGTGGGACTGTATGTGCAGTTGGAAGCCAAAGATTTTTGGATGGAATAAAATATTAAACTTCATTTATATTCTTTTACAAGAGACAATCTTGAAACAAGCCCTGCGAACACGAATTTGAAAGTAAGAGTGTGGAAATAAACACACATACATATACATATCTGTACACACAAACAATAAATCAGCAAGGGTATAGAATATTTAAGCAGCACTAATACTCAACTTGCTCTGCTTGACAATTCTAAAACATTGTACTCATCAACTGCAGAATATACCTTTTATAGATTATTTACAAACAAAAAAAATGCTTAAGCCATAAATCAAGTTGAAATAAATTACAAAGTATTGAAAGAACGAACACTTACATTCTCTGACCATAGTGCAAACAAAGTAGAAATCAGTAACAGATAAATAGAAAATCCCAAAATGTTTAGAAATTAAACAATATATTTCTAAAATGCCTCATGGTCAAAGAAGACATCATAGTGGATTAGACAATTTTTAACCTAAATTATAATTAAAATGATATATAAGTGTATGGTTTGATTTAAAATAGTGCATAGAGGTAAATCTATAGCTTTAAGTGCGCATATTAGAAACAAAGAATATTCCCTGTCTTCAATCTCAAGAAACTAAACACAAGATGAACTAAAGTCCTCCAAAATAGAAGACAGGGAATAATAAAAATAAGAGCAGAAAGGAACAAAATAGAAAAAAAAATTAAAAAACCCAAACCATAAATTGGTTTTCTGAAAAGATTAATAAAATTTATAAACCTTTGGTAATCAAATGCAGAGAGAATATATATATATATTACCAATTTCAGGAATAAAAAATATATTACTATAGACTCTACAGGCATTGAACAGACATTAACACACACTTTTAGTCTAATAAATTTAACAATTTAAATGAAATGATCATAGTCCTTGAAAAATACTATTGGGTTGACCAAAAAGTTCATTTAGTTCTTTCCGTGAGATGGCTCTATTAGTGCTTAGTTGTCTTTAACTTCATTCGAAACAGTTTTGTTAGATTGTATTATGATAGCTGTCAATCAGTGTGCATTAAAAAAAATCAAAATTGGTGAACTTTTGTGCAGCCATTTTAATATTGAAGATGGAAGAAGATACATAGCATTTTCAGCATATTATGCTTTATCATTTCAAGAAAGGTAAAAATGACACTGAAACACACCCAAAAAAGATTTTGGGAAGGTGCTGTGACTGATGGAACGTGTCAAAAGTGTTTTGTGAAGTTTCTTGGTACTATTGACACTTTGGCCAAATAATTCTGTGCTGTGGGGCCGTCTTATGCCTTGGAAGATGTTTAGCAGCACCCCTGGCCTCTACCCACTAGAGGCCAATAGTGGGAGATAACTAACATACTCAAAATATCCAAATCTTATAATACAGTTATTGGTGAAAATGACAAGTGTGCCTTTTATTTTACAGAAAAACCATTCAGACTTTTTTGGACAACCCACCACTTACGAAACTGACATACTCATGAACATACACATAATCTTATGTCTATGAAGAAAATTTATCCATGAATTAAAACCTACACACACCAAGAAATACCTAGTCCAGATGGCTCTTTGATGTATTTTTCTAAACTTTTCAAGAAAGAAATAATGCTAGTCTTACATGAAATTTCACAGGGAATAGAAAAAGAAGGAACACTTCTCAACTCATTTTATGAAGCCAGCATAACCTTAATACCAAAACCTGACTTAAATATTGTAAGTGTTGAGCAGAAAAGGTCAGACAGAAAAGAGTAAATATTGTTTGATTCCATTTATATGAAATTCCATAAGGGCGCAATAGAAATCAGAATAATGACTTACTCTTAGAGGAGTGAAATACTGACTGGGATGCAACACAAGGGAAACTTCTGGGGTGCTGGAATATTCTCTGTCTTTATCTAGGTAATAGTTATAAGTATGTACGTATGTAAAAATTCAGTCAACTGTACACCTAAGACTTGTGCATTTTATGCATGTTATGTCTTTAAAAAGACTATAAATTTTCCCCCATACACCCATGATATTTTCATCATCACATAATTTCTTTTATATCTATATTGAATCCAGGGGGCACGTCCCTTGCTCACAATCTATTTTGACTGTTTGATGAATGCACACTTCTGATGGAGCTGGTGTGAACAGCAGGGAGCATTTGCTGTAGGCTGCTCCTTTTTCGGGAGTAAAGGAGTGACCTAGACCCAGTGTTGGGTGTGATCTGGCGTTTAGTTCTTCCACTCTGTCCCACATGCTTGCTCACTTCATACAGTGTTGTTTTCTTTACAGGCACGGTGGTTCTGGGAAGCGTACTTCCAGTCAATTAAAGCCATTGCGCTGGCCACCCTGCAGATTATCAATGACCGGATCTATCCATATGCCGCCATCTCCTATGAAGAGTGGAATGACCCTCCGTCTGTGGTAAGTGAATTCTGGTGATAGTCACGTCAGGCGCAGTCCAACTGTTGGGATGGAACAAAGGAAAATCTACTGGATTTGTAAAGGTTACTTAAATTCTAGCTTTCTAAGATGATAGCATGCTGTTATACTTGGGGGTCTGATATGATGACAAAAGTGTGAAAGTAGCAGCTTCTAGTTTGTTTTAAATGTGCTGAGGAAGACAGTATGTTTGTTCATTGCAGAGATAAATGGGGAGACTTGGATCTGGTTGGAAATCAAAGACTCCGTGATGACTTTTGCGGTTGTAGTGCTTAGAACTCTTGAAAAGATTCTGTAAGCTACTTAATAATAATAGTTTCTATTTTGAGTCCTTGCTCCCTGCCAGGGACTGTGCTTTACATGGATTATTCCAATTAACATTTCTAACACACTGGGAGGCAGATAGTCAGCACAAGTGATCTGGAGGCATTATGGATTGCCAGTCCCTTGCTGAGGCCTCTGGGCTCCTTCCTGGCTGGAAGGAGTCACAGGGCCCTTGTGGCGTCTTACGCACTGTGGAGTGGCCACACCTTCTTTCTCATGGAAAATCCCTGAAGCTCTGGGGCTGGCAGTTCTTGCTTCCTAACCGCTTTGGAGCACACTTGGCTGTCTAGCTCTCAGACCCCACGGCTTTCATGTGTGATAACTAGACTCCATTGTTCCTTCTAATCATGGCTGTCTTTCTGGCCAGCCCTCCTGTCTCCTGACTCTACCTTCTCCATAGTGCTGTATACGGCCACCTGGTTAATCTTCATATAGGACTCCCGCCCATCTTGCCTTTGTCCCTTCCTGCCTTCCTCCAGTCTTTATTAAGCAGTTACTGTGTGTCAGGCACTGCACCGGGTGCTGAAAATGTAGAAAAAGAAGCCAGTTCCTGCCCTCAAAGGAATGCTGCACTATCTTGGGAAGCCAGCAAGCAAAGGCTACAGTGGTATGAGAAGGGCTGCAGTAGAGGGTGTACTGAAGACTGTGGAGCGCGGCTGGGGGCGGGGGGGGGAGGCAGGCAGTGGTCCTCACAGGGAGCGGGGGGGGGGGTGGGAAGGTTGGGGGGAGTGTCAGGGTGCTCCCTGAAGCAAGGATGCTGGAGAGGAAGTCAATATATGCTTAGGGTGAAATAGAACAAATGAACCTTTCTGTTGTGCTCGAGGAAAAGTTTACTTCTGTTCACCTCCCCCCTTGAATCCATTACCAAAAGTAACCTTCCAGGAGGTTTCTATGCACATATAAGCATAATTATATGATTTTGGAACACAGATGGGGCCACAGGACACATCCTGCCCTGCACCCAGCCTTTTTTGCTTTAACGAGAGACCACTGACTGCTTTCCATTCCATTCTATGCGGTGTGCAGTTGGCTGTCCACGTCTGCTGGTTTTAGTTCTGTGAGTTTAGCTTTTGTGGATTCAACCCACTGCAGATCGATAGTATTTTTTTTAAATCCCAAAAAGTTTCAAAAAGCAAAACTTGAATCGCCACATGCTGAGCACTATACTGCATCCCTAGGAATGAAGTGATACTGAGGCATGCCCTGCCATAGCCTATATGCAAAACAAATACAGATTAAATGCAAACAGTATGCCATTTTAAATAAAGAACTTCAGCCTCTGAAGTTTTGGGACCCCTGTGGGGCTTCTGGAACCAGTACCCCACTATGCCAGGGGACGACTGTACTTCAGTTTTAAGGGTAGCTATACAGTATTACATTGAGGTATATCTAACATAACAGGCCTATTATTGATAGGGGTTTAGATTGCTTTCCCCCCCTATTTTCAAACAGTAATACAATACTTTTATATATGTTTGCATGTAAATGTGTAAAAAAAAAAAACTTATTTATGGAATTAATTTCAGCCAACAAATTGCTTAACCCATTTTGATGTTCATAGATATTAAGAAATTGCCCTTTCAAATGACTGTACCAACTTAAGTTCCACGAATAACATTTCGGTTATTCTGGTTCTCCATGCTCTCAGTGACCCTGAACACTTGAGTTTTGGCTGTGTGCTAGGTGAAAAATGATCTTACATGTGTTGTTCAAGTGGAAGGTTGACATTTCTGTCAGTTTCCCCCAGAACACAACCAGAACTCCAGTTTGTATTTTGGTGTGTTGCTTTGAAGTTTTAGATTGTTTTAGGCAGTTATTCATTCCATAGATGTGCATTCCTTGAGTGCCTGCTGTGTTCCAGACGGTGTGCTGGGCGCTTGAAATGTATCAGTGGACGATGCAGAGAAGGACCCACGCCTCCAGCGAGTTCGCGTTGCCATGGCTCGTACAGGCGGGAAGCACGCTGTGCTTCCTAGTAGGATTTTAGTTTTCCTTATAGGAGTCCTTCCTAAGTCCTGAGAGTTTTTCTTAGATATTATACCTTTCTTATGCTTTTATAAAGGAATACTTTCTGACTTTATAGTTTCTTATGGGCTATGATTTATATAAAGATATCTTAGTGGCTTTTGTATATAAATTGTGTATTCTTTTACTGAATTCTACAATTGTGTCTTTTCTAAGTTATTTTCCTATGTTTTCTAGTTGTATAATCATATCTACAAATGTTAATTTTGTTTCCATTTTCCAATGTTTGAACCTTTTACCGTTTTTGTCTACTGACATTGGCTAGTCACTTCTCAAACACTGGTAAGTGACCATCTGAGTATGAAAAGAGAAGGGTAGGAATTATCTCGTCAGAGGAGAGAGGAGGTCAGGTTTTATCCAGAAGGAACAGCAAATTCAGAGACACCGAGAGGTCAAGAGAGCATGGCGGTTTAAGGAGCTTCAGGGAGGTCGCGGCGGCAGACATGAAGGAGCGAAGCCTGCATACCTTGTACCTCACAGAAGGTGTCAGCGTGTTATCTGCTGGTAACAGGAAATCACTGAAACATGTAAACAGGGAAGTAATGAGGCGAGATAGTGTTTCGGATCAGTCTGACGTCACTGTGGAGACTGGTTAAATTGCAGTGAGGAAAGATTAGAGACAGGAGACTATTTCGGGAAGCCAGGTGAGACTTAATAGAGAGTAAATTTGAGCACTGTCCGGGAGAACTGACTGTTTGAACTAGCAAATGAGGGAGTTTAGAAAATTGAGCTATAGATAGGGAGTGGTTTGTCCAGCTAGAGAATGGGGGCACGTGGGCGTCGCGGGCGATGATGGCATTACAGCCCAGACTCAGTCCGACTGCAGGGCCTGCCGCAGTCTGGCTCCAGTCTGCCTTTGAAGCTTTGATTCCTTCTGTTCTCTTTAAGGGAGTTCTAGGTTTCTGGCAACACAACTTCGTTCTGCCTGTGAATACTCTGTGCATTTCCTTCTCTGTGCCTTTGACTGGCCCTTTCACCATAGCCTTTAACTGTCCGCATTTTATTCAAATTACAGTGGCCCGCTCATATACCCCTTCCTCCAGGGGGTTCTCCCAGACCTCCAAGCAGGAAATACTCTCCTCCTTATAACTAACTCTTAGAGCATATTATCTGTGTTTCTTTCCTATCTTACTTTCCTATACTTACTATGCATAAAGTATAATACCTTCTGAAGTTGTAAGCGTTTTAAGGGAATTTCTGAGTTATCTTGTTATTCCAGCCAATACCTAGGGCAATTTAATTCAGACAGGAGGCCCTTGATATATATAAAGGAGGGGGGAGAGAGATGGGGATTCCAGGACTGGAGCCATCTAAGCCTCACTCACACACGGATGTGACATCCATCATTTGATTTGACCTTCACCTGTTGGGAAGGTGGGGAAAGCGATAAAATCTTTCTTTGTAAAGCTGACATGATGAGACTGACTTATCGAAGGCCATATAATTGACACGTGTAAACAAGTAAGAACCTAGGTCTTCCATCCGTAGATTACTTTAAATTGCATATGGAATGTTATGGGAGCCATTGAGCCTCCTCTGGGCTGAAACTTCTCCACCACTTCTAGCATGTGGTGCGAACTTGAGAGAGAGAACGATCACATCTGTTCCCCTGCGTGCGAATTCCTGTAGGGGGGTGGCCATGACCCAGCCAGAAAGTGTAGAAACAATGGGACTTGGTTCTGTTCTTTTACCTAAAGCTCTAAGAAAACTTTAATAAGAATAAACGGTTGGAATTTTGGTTCCCTGTCTTTCATAAGAATATAAACTAGAAGAAAATAGTACATGAAATTTTGCGGTTTGCGTTTTAATTTAGGATGAAATAGTCAAATTTGGGAAAGAACGTAAATATAAAAAGCACAAGTCCTGATTTGCTATTGGGAAACATTCTATATATTTTTTTCTTTAACTATTGGCTTACATAGTCCTTTTCAGGGAAATTCAGTGTTGATCAGAGTTCTAGATGCTCAGGTGATGAGAGCCCTGATTTAAAGCTGTGGGTTTTACATTCTGTATATTCGGTGAAAGCAACTGGCCTGTGAAGTGATGATTTATTTATAGTTAACTTTGCCCCTCCCCTTCAGAAATACTTAACCAGCTCTAGATATGATTACTAGGGACCTGACTTGCAGGGGAGGCTCCCCGTTCCATCAAAGTTACAGTATCAGAAACCCCGAGGGGGTGGCCTAACGTCGTGCGCGGACTTGCTCAGGCTGGAGAGGAAGGGGTAAGAGCAGAGCCTTGTTTTGGCCAGATGCTGCTGCCTTGCTATAATGTTAAAGAAAAAGACCAAAAAAATCAAAGAAATAACAACAACAAAAAAACATTGCGTGGATTAGGAAGACAGTGAGGGGTAGCCTTGCAGAAACCAAGTGTTCGTGTCACCAGATGCTCTGCCATTCTTACCTGTCACCAGATAGAAGACTGATTACATTATGCATATTGTGCCACACTCTCAAAACTTGAAAAAGTATGGTGAAATAACTCTTGAGCATAACTTTAAAGTAGCCGCTCTGTCTGGTTTGGAGACGTTGGCCCTTTGTTTTGAATCCTTTCTTTGGAAGGAATTTCTCACCAATTTATGAGGGGATGTATTTGTTTTCATCATTAATTTTCCAAGCTCTTCATGTCAAGCC